CAATGCACAGAGCCTGACTGCCTCTCGCGCGCGAAACGGGATGCACAGATGGCCTCTCTCGCGCGAACGGATGCACAGAGATGATTGCGAGCGTCGATTTGGACACAGCGAAAAAAAACCGGATACTGATCGCCGAAGATCGCGTCACCCATGAGTGCGAGTTAGGGCTAGCGGCTGGCCAATAGCCTGTGAGGAGGGCGTCCATAGACACCTCACAAGACCCCACACACGGTCTCGTCCGTGCCTTGCGGCCGGCGACGAGATTGCTAGAGGCGGAGCAAGCCTGCTCTAGTCTCACACGTTCGCCCCTGTCGCCTGTCTGTGTTGTTGTGCTGTTGTTTGTCTCTTGGCACCTTGGAGTGCTGGGGGGGGCGACAGGGGGGACGTGGCCTGAGTGATGTGTACGCCCACTCAGGATGTGTGGCAGCCCGCTGGCTGTGTGTCTTGTGAGCTTGTTTGTGTCTGTGTGTCGCTCGTGCGTGTCGTCATCATCTGTCTTGCGTCCACCCATACCGCGTTGGTGTCCAGTCCGAGCCTGACTGTTCTTCACCTTACTACATACATACATACATCGCGTGAGCCGGACTTAGAGCCGGACGGCTTTCATTTCTCTCTGCGTTCTTGCACATGGAGTGCAAGATACTCGTTCTGTTGCCATCCCAAGCTGTCACTCCCCTTTCTCCCGGCCGGGGTGGGGCGCACGGGGGGGCGGGGGGGGGGGGGGGGGTGCGGGATGTCTGTGGGCCCGAGAGCGATACGCCATTTCCCCTTTGCGTTTGTTTCATAACATCGAAGGCTAAGCTATCCTAAAAAAAGTTATCTCGTCTGGCGCCGTCCCAAAGTGAGATACGCACAAAAATACACACCAATACCGGATCGTCCAGGCGGGCCTTCCATGCAAGCACACACCATTTACTGTGAAAGGATACAAGTGTATTTCAGTACACTTGCCTTACTTCGGGTAAGACACAGCCCCCCTCCGTGTCGCGATGCGCTCCCCGCTCCCCTTCCCCTGTGTCCCTGATCGTCCTTACAAGATCCTGCTCGCGCAGGTGGGGACCCTGTCCTTCTCCCACCCCTTGTTTGGTGTGTCCGTTTTATTTATTTATTTATGTCACTCCCTTGGGTTGCCTCTTTGCTTTCTTTCTTTCTTGTCACCCCCTTTCTCCCGGCCGGGGCCCAGTGCCGAAAGAATTTTACAACTGCCGAAAGAAAGCGTGGATGAGTACGCATCGAGCTCAACTGCCTCGCCTTCCTCGCAGGAGTCGCTTACGCGGCTCCCGTGGTGTGTGGTGCCTTTCTGGCGAGGACATCGTCGATACGCGGCTCCCAAAAGAAAGAAAGAACATGCCCAGCCAAGGGAGGGATGGGAGAACGGCACGCCGCCACCACACAGGGATTTTAAGGAGAGGAGTGTGACAGAAATTCTTTTTCTCGCGATGTCCCCCGCCGCGGCGCCGCTCGCGCCGCCTCGCCGCCGCTCGCTCGCCAGACACGCCGTCGCCCGCCCGCCTCCTCGACCTCCCCAGGGAGCTCCTCGCGCGCGCCCTCTCTCGCTGCGACCCCGCCGACATCGCTCGCGTCGCGGCCGTCTCGCTGCTCTTCCACGCCTCGCTTGCGCTGGAGGGCATCCGCTTGCGCCTGCAAGAGCGCGGCTTCGAGCTGCCGGCGCAGCCAGAGGGAGAGAGCTGCGCCGTGCGGTGGCTGTGCTTGTCTGCGCTGCTGCGCGAGTCCAACCCGCCGGCGAGGGCGGCGGCAGGCTGCTTCCACAGCGTCTTCATCGAGGGCGAGGGGCGGCTCTCGTCGTGCGGCTATGCTGTGTCCTTCCCAGGGCTACTCGGCCACGGCGAAGGCGTGACACGGCTCAACACGCCGACGCGCCTCCCGTCAACGCTGGGTGAGCGCGCCGTGAGCGTGACGGCGGGAGTCAACCACAGCCTCGCCCTCACCGCCGGCGGCGCTGTCTGGAGCTGGGGAAGTGGAGTTGAGTTGGGCCACGGCGACATGCAGCGCCAGCTGCTGCCCAAAAAGGTCGAGGCCTTTACTGGCCGGCGCGCCGTCGCTGTGTCGGCTGGAGTCTACCACAGCCTCGTCCTCACCGCTGACGGCGCCGTCTGGAGCTGGGGCTATGGAGGTAGTGGCCAGCTGGGCCACGGCGACCAGCAGCGCCAGCTGCTGCCGAAGAAGATCGAGGCCTTTGCTGGCCAGCGCGTCATCGCTGTGTCGGCTGGATGTCACCACAACCTCGCCCTCACCGCCGCCGGCTCCGTCTGGAGCTGGGGCGGTGGAGAGGAAGGCCAGCTGGGCCACGGCGACCAGCAGCGCCAGCTGCTGCCGAAGAAGATCGAGGCCTTTGCTGGCCAGCGCGTCATCGCTGTGTCGGCTGGATTTCACCACAACCTCGCCATCACCGCCGACGGCGCTGTCTGGAGCTGGGGCGATGGATATTCTGGCAAGCTGGGCCACGGCGACCGGGAGCGCCAGCTGCTGCCGAAGAAGCTCGAGGCCTTTGCTGGACAGCGCGTCATCGCTGTGTCGGCGGGAGGCGGCTACAGCCTCGCCATCACCGCCGACGGCGCCATCTGGAGCTGGGGCAGCGGAGACGCGGGCAAGCTGGGCCACGGCGACCAGCAGAACCAGCTGCTGCCCAAGAAGGTCGAGGCCTTTGCTGGCCAACGCGCCGTCGCTGTGTCGGCTGGGCTCGCGCACAGTCTCGCCATTACCGCCGACAACGCCGTCTTTACCTGGGGCAAGGGCGAACACGGCTGCTTGGGCCACGGAGAGGACTTGTCGAACCAGCTGCTGCCCAAGAGGGTCGAGGCGTGGGCGCAGGAGTGAGAGGGGGGGCGAGGGGCGCGGTGGCTGATAGGAGTACGACCGACTCGGGAGAGCTACCGATCTGAGGTGTGCCGCACCTCGTGCACAAAATTCTTTTTTCTGCCTGCGGCGTCGGGAGGCCGACTACTTTACACGGTAGGCGCGCGCGGCCGCGCCCGGGGGCGGCGGGTGTGCGGGATGTCTGCCTTGCGTTTTGTTTCATAACATCGAAGGCTAGCTCAAAAATTATTAGAAGCTTCACGGGTTCGAGAGTCTCGTCAAAACATAGGTTTAAGCCCCCCGGAGGTGTGCCGAGGGGGACCGGGAGGCGGTAAGTCGTCGCCGCCCGGCGCTGCTTGCAGCACCATCGCGATGGCGCTAAGAGGCTCCTCTTTTCCGCCCCCCCCCCCCCCCCCCCGCAAGGCGCGCGATACAAATATTATCACGGCACCTGTGGTGACGAACAAAGTGTGGCCCTCGCACCAGTCACGGTGGCCCCCCAGAGGTGCTTCCGCCCCCTCCCTCCGTCGCGCGTTTCGGCGCGGAGTGCATTGCCGTTCTTAACGGAGTCGCTTAGGCGGCTCCGGCGGTGAGCCGGTGAGTGTGCCAGTCCGCGCCAGTCCGCGCCCTTGTCGTGCCAGTGTGATGTGAGAGAGGCTTGTATTCTAAGAATTCTCCTCTCCTAATCCGACTGTACTAAAGTTAGCACCTGCACCCGACCGCCGAACCGCCCGTACAACCGAGTCGAGCAGCCTGACGGCACGACTCGGTCCACCTTCTCGCTGGGCAATCACTTCTTCGCGAACGTGATATGGTCCAAAGAGCAGCACGCAGCCTTCCCCGACTTCCCCCGAGGGATTGGAGGCCTCAAGTACAAAGTCCTTCCGAGGGCCTCCGCGTTCGGCGACGCGGTCTGCAGCCGCTGCCTGGGGTACAGGCAGCTGCATCATTCCCCTTTACTTCAATCAGCTGTGTACATTCAAGTGCTATTACTGTCTGTATAGCTGTCTAGACGCTCCGATTTTGCTGTCTGGACGCTGTCTGGACGCTGTCTGGACGCTGTCTGGACGCTGTCTGGACGCTGTCTGGACGCTGTCTGGACGTGGAAGATCGTCTGAGGTGTGAACAGATAAACCTGCTGCGCACAGGCCGCCGGAAGGCACAGGCGGCTGGCGCGTCAGCTGCACAGGTGCGAGCGCCGCCGCCTCGCCGATCGCCCCGCCTTGCAGGCTGCTTTGCCGGCGCACCTCCAGGCGGCACCCGCCCGAGCCAATCCGCCTCGGCCGCGATCACAGCCTGCTCGGCCGCCTGGTCCGCGAGACAAGCGCCCGCCAGACTGCGACGAGGCCGCCGCGCGCACCAGCGACGCGAAGATTCGCTGCCACAGCTGCTGCTGTTGCTTGGGCGGCGAGAAGCGCCGTCTTTGCGGCGTCTGTCGCGGCGGAGGGAGGGCGGTTCGGCGGCGATGGGAAAGGACGGCGTGGCGGCGCCGCAAGCGCGTTCGGTCACGCGCGCCCCGAGGCCGCCGTCTTCGGTGCAGCGTTCGTGTCGGACTGAACTGCTGGGCTCGCGCTTTGCCCATTGCGCAGCGGTGGGTCGACGTGGCTACTGCCGGCCCGCGGCTTCTTCATCGGCTGCGGCGCGGGGCTCATGGCTGCAGTATGGCACCTGAGCAACGCGTGCCCACGCTTGCTCTGCCCTTATGCGCAAGCAGCGTTGCGACGTTGGCGTTGCCCACAGTTGCCGCACAATTGCTGCCGACCTTCGCGGGCACTGCGATATCTTCTGTGAAGAGGGCCTGTCTAGACAGCTGTCTAGACAAAACTACAAGTTTGAAAGTTCAAGTTCTCAAGGTCTGTTAAGTTCTGCTGTCTAGACGCACCCCCCCCCACACCAAACGGCAAGTCGGGCGGCAAGAGGTGTGTATGTGGGTGGGTGGGTGGGTGGGGAGTGGCCTCGGCAGCGCCAGGGGTGCTGTCAGGGTCGTCCAGCCACGACTACGAGACTTTACTGTGAAGAGTGGAGCCATGTGCCACTGTCTGGACGCTGTCTGGACACTGTCTGGACGCTGTCTGGACACTGTCTGGACGCCGTCTGGACACTGTCTGGACAGGCTCAGGACTGTCTAGACATCTGCGGGAGCTCCACAAACCAGGTTGCGAGAGGTGGCCGTGTTCGAGGAG